TAAGTTGACCTTATACAGTGCAGAGCACACAAAGCAATGCCTTAAGCCTTCCAGAAACTTTGATTTGACATTGTGATTTTTTTTGTCATTAAATTTAACATAACAAAAAGCATGAAGACAATTCTCCTTTGAGTCAGATGCATTTGGATTTTTTTTTTTTTCCAGTTCCCAGCTGCATAGACAAATACTACAGAAGAAAGAGATAGAAGACAACCATATGCCTCCAGTTAACTAGAGTGGATTGATAGCCATTAGAATTACACTGCAGGTCATAACTACATTTTTATTGAGACTTTTCTTGACCTGTGTTTGCTAAAGGTGTTAAGTTGATTATAAAAATTGCCCCAATTAATAGCTTTCTAGTATCCATATCTTTTGCAATAAAACTCTGCAAGACGTAGAGTCTATTTTCTCCCAAACCTTGAATCTGTGCTGGGTTTGTGACTTGCTTTGGCCATGAGAATATGGCAGAAGTGATAGTGTTATGGGTTAAATTGTGCCCCCCAGCAAAGATACGTTGAAGTCCCCAGTACCTCAGAAAGTGACTTTATTTATAAATAAGGTCTTTACAGAGGTCAAGTTTAAAAGCAGTCATTAGGGTGGGCCTTATTCCAATATGACTAGTGTTCTTACAAAAAGAGAACATCTGCAAGCAGAGACACCCACAGAGGGAAAATGATTTGAAGATATAAAGAGAGAAGACAGACATCTAGAAGCCAAGGAACACCAAAGGCTACCAGAAGCTAGGAGAGAGGACTGGAACGGATCCTTCCCTGAGGACTTAAGAGAGAGCAGGCCCCTGTTAACACCTTGTTTTCAGATCTCTGTCCTCTATTATAACTGTGAGATTACATAGATTACCCATTGTTTTAAGCCACCTTTTTGTAGCACTGTATTGTGGCGTCCTAGGAAACTAATACAGATGATAAGATATTCTGAGCCTAAGCCTCAAAAGGCCCTCACTTCTCTGTCTCTTGTTCTCTCTCTCTCACTAATACAGATGATAATCTCTATCTATCTCTAGCTCTAGCTCTATCTCTATCTCTATCTCTATCTCCCTTTCTCTCTCGTTTACTCCTTTGCCTTCACTAGAAGAATATGACCCATCTAGTCTTAGAACAAGCCCATACTACCCTGCTGGAAGATGAGAGATGAGCCATAGCCAGCTGACCACAGATACATGAGTAAACTCAGGGAAGGCCAGAAGAACTGCCCAGCCAACTACGGACATGAACAACAATACATACTTATTGTTTTAAGTGACTGAATTTTGAGATGCTTTGCTATGCAGCATTATTGTTATAATAAATAAATGATACAAAAAAAATCATGGAAAAAACAAAACAATAACATGCAAGAAACATATTAAGGAATTAACATCCAAAATAGATAAGGAACTCATAGAAGTTACAACAAAAAGGCAAACAATCCAATTAAAATTTTTTTTTTTTTAATGGGCCAAGGACCTGAATAGACATTTCTCCAAAGAGGACATACAGATGCCAACAACATATGCAAAGATGCTCAACATTACTAATCATCAGAGAAACCAATTGAGATATTACCTCACACCCGTCAGAATGGCTATCATCAAAAATGAACGAACAAGTGTTGGCAAGGATGCAGAGTAAGGGAATCCTTGTGTACTGTTGGTGGGATTGCAAATTGGTGCAGCCACTATGGAAAACAGTATGGAGGCTCCTCAAAAAGTTAAAAATAGAACTACCATTTGACCCAGCAATCTTACTTCTGGGCATTTATCCAAAGAAATCCAAAACACTAATCCAAAAAGATATATGCATCCCTCTGGTCATTGCAGCATTATTTACAATAGCCAATTATAAATAAATTTACAAATAAGGTCACATTCTGAAATACTGGGCACTTCAACATATCTTTTTAGGCGGACATAATTCAACCCATAACACTATCACTTCTGCCACATTCTGTTGGCCAAAGCAAATTACAAGGCAATGGTAGATTCAAGGGCTGGGAAAAAATAGACTCTACCTCTTTCAAAGTGATATGGCAAAAGGTATGGATACCAGAAAGTCATTAAATGGGACAATTTTTATAATCAATTTGGAAGCAAACTAAGTGTCCATCAATAGATGATTGGATAAAGAAGATGTGGTGCATACATACAATGGAGTATTACTCGGCCATAAAAAAGAATAAAATCTTACCATCTGTGACAACATGGATGGCCCTAGAGGGAATTATGCTGAGTGAAATAAAACAGAGAAAGACAAATACCATATGATTTCACTTATATGTGGAATCTAAAAAACAAAATGAACAGAACAGAACAGAAACAAACTCACAGATACAGAGAAACTGATAGTTGTCAGATGGTGGGGGGTTGGAGACTGGGTGAAAAAAAAGAAGGAATTAAGAAGTACAAATCGGCAGTTATAAAATAGTCACAGAGGTGTACAGAACAGCATAGGGAATGTAGCAAATATATTGTAATAACTATGTATGGTGTCAGGTTGGTATTAGACTTATCAAGAGATCACTTCCTAAATTATATAAATGTCTAACTACTATGCTGTACACCTGAAACGAGTAAGTATTAAATGTCAAGTGTAATTGAAAAATCAAAGAAAAAAATTTTAAAACGTTAACTGCTAATAAAACAAGCTTAACAGCCGGTCTCAATTTGCTCATTAATATGAGGCTATATGGTATTAACTGAGAGTGCTTTCTCTTCCTTTTCTTGCTGTCACTTTTTAAAACAATTTTTAAAAAATAAATTGGCCTTTTTCTTTCTGGAAAAAAAATTTTTGGCTCAGAGATGTTAAGTTTCCAGTCAATGTTCACATTTAGGAAGCTGCAGAACCAAGATTCCAGTACTGTTGGCAAAACAGATTGTCTGAAATACTATGTCTTTGATAGTAATTAATAGATAATAATTATATTAGGTATAATAATTACATATAACATTATGATATAGATAATGTAGATATAGTAATTGGATATAATAGACAATAATTAGATAACACTCTTAACAAAAAAAATGTGGTAATTAAAAAGAAAAAGAAACACATTATAATTTTAGAATGTTACTTATGGAGGATAGTGAATAGGAATGGAGAATGAAGAAAAAATGGAAAAGATAAACTAACAAAAAGAGCTTTTTGCAGAATAATGATGGTAGTATGCAATGAAAAATTAATTCAACCCTATGCAACAAATAAAATATATAAATAAATAAAATTAAGAATGATGCCTAAAAGAAACTAGACATTGGGAAGGGAAGGAGTAGAGTTGGGGCAAGAATTGTGTTAAGGTTTGAATCATGTACACTCTCAAATTCTTATGTTGGAATCTTAATCTTCAGTACCTTAGAATGTGATATTATTTGGAAATAGGGTCATTTGCAGATGTAATTAGTTAAGATGAGGTCATTAGATGAGGTCATATGACTAGTATCCTTATAGAAAGGGACTATCTGGACATAAAGACGTGCACCCAGGGAGACAACCATGTGAAGATGAAGGCAGATGGAGATGATGCTTCTATAAGCCAAAGAATGCCAAAAATTTCCAGCAAATCAACAAACAGGTTCTTTATTACAGCCTTTAGAAGGAACCAAGCCTATAGATGCCTTGTTTTCAGACCTCTAGCCCCTAAACTATGAGATAATACATTTCTGTTATTGTTTAAGCCACTCAGTTTGTAGCACTTTGTTAGGGCAACCCTAGCAAACTAATAATACAAGGTGTAATGACAAGGAAATTACTCTTTCTCTACCCAGAACTAGATTATGAATCCCCAGGATTTGGACTGAATATGAGATGGTAGTTATCTTTCCCTTCTCTATTCAAAATTTGATGATGTTTTATTTCTCTAAACAATATCTTTCCAAATAAAGCATTTCTCATATTTTGAAGCTGACTGTCAGTATTTACTTTTGCTTATACTGTCCAGCGTTTCCTACGTTCTGGGTCTTCCTCCGTCAACAAACACCTACCCACTCCTGAGGAAACTCCACATTAGAAAGGTACAAGGAATTTCTGAGAAGCTGCTTTTCTGTGACATCTGGTGCCCTTCCTCACCTTCTCTATTATGTCATGGCAAACTAAAAATAGGTTGTTGCCTAACTAATGATCACCTATCATTCCCATACCTTCCATACTCTTCTCTTCCTCCTCCTCTTCCAATGACATGCCAGGTTCTGAATCCCCATAATTCTGTTCTTCATCAGAGAACTCTGTGGTTTCTGAATATTCAGAGTCCTCTTCTCCATAATAGACATGGTGCTCTGGGTCATAATAATCCTCTTCTTCCTCAGTGGTTTCTGCATCTTTGGAGTATACAACCGATTCTAAATATTCCTCTTCTCCTAAGTATAAAGAATCATCTAGCTCCTCATATCTCTGTTCATCCTGTAAATAATCGATAGTTGCTGGAATTTCATATTCAACATTCTCAACCAAATGAGGCAATGTGACTTCCGGTGTGTTGCATTCCTTCTCATTTTTCCTTGGGGACCAAGCCGTTTCCCTATAACTAGTTTTCTTGTCCACGAATGTCTCAAAGGTTCCCAAATCCAAGTGTTCTTTCTCTTTGAAGGACTCCGTGATCTCACAATTTTCAGGCTGTTTCTCTTCAGGGAAAAACGTATCTTGAGAATTCTCTCTGACCTCTATACATTGAGGAGGTTCTATATTCTCATGCTTCAAAAATTCTGAAAAGAACAAGAAAGTTGTGGGGGCTTTTGTTTTGTTTTCCAAATTAACAAACAAAAAAAAATTATAATAACTTGAGTTTCCGAGACCTCAAAGCATTATCTCTCTTTTTTATTTCACTGGAGAAGAGCAATATCTACTGCCTCCAACATAAATGGCCATTAATCAACTGTTAGAATTTTATTGTCTCACTGGAAAAAAATCAGACCACACTCCCACCTTGCTCAAAATTTAGAGTCTTTCATAGCAACCTCAAATGTTAAATGAGTAAAACAAAATTTGAATCTTATGAACAGTATTTACTTACTGGATTTACTGTGACCTGAAGCCAGCTCAAAATTCCTAGGGCCGTTGCTAATGAAACCAGATCCTAATAATTTTTAATCAGGAGGCAAACAGCTCTGATTTGGAACAGTAAATCCTAGAAATAATAAAACCTATTTCTCTAAGCTTACGGTTCTTGTCTTACTTTAGGAACCATTAACATTAACCTTTTTATCTGAGTTTTTACCTCTTTAACATCTCTTAAAATAATCTTCGATATTTTTTAGATTCTAAAAAGGGAGCCACACTTGCCTCTGGTGGTAATCCACAGAATTGCCAAACAATCCATTCTGGAATTTGCTCCCTCATCAGCTACTAATTATTTTTGAACACTGAAGATTTAGCGTTTGACTTGATTCAGAAAACTAGGGTTCTGTGGGCATTCTCATCACAGAAAAAAAAAAAAATGAAGTTACTGACTCACCATATATGAGTCAGTAACTTCCCTGTATTCAGCAATTTTCCCTGTATTCTCCTGTATTTTCAAAATGGCTATACTAAATGAAAGATGCAGCTTGTGGTTTTTGGATTGTTAATATCTGTGAATTCACTTACTTGATAAAGAAATCCCTCATGTGTCATCATTAACAGTATTAGTCTCTTTCCAGCTATGAGTATTTCAGGATGTCGCTGTCATAAAAAAAAAATGAGCAGTTTACACTAGCACTAAAAAACCGCAAGTTTTGGATATAGTTTAAACAAAAAATTATCAATCTCCTAAACCAATAAGATACATTGTTTTCTGCTTTTTAAATCCTGGCCACTTCCCCTGTATCATATTTCAGTGAAAATTATCTCTGGGAGAAAGACAAATGAAAATAAAAGGTGGCGGTTTTCTTTTCTTTCTTTCTTTTTTTCAGGAAATCTGCCTCGTCCCTTCCATCCCCCAAAAAGTGCTGAAATTCAACTTACCGTGCCCTAAGTCCCAAATCGTAGGTGACTCTGGAAAAGTACTACATAAGCACTTGAGAAAATGCTGACAGCTCACCTCTCCCTTTTTCTGTACCAAAATTAACAGCTTTCGAATTTTCTTCAAGGGATCTGTGATATTCTCCAGGGTCTCATACTCTTCTTCAGAAATCAGCCTCCGAGAGGTTAATGTATCTAAGACAGAATCAGGATCCTGTTGCAGGATTTCAAGTAACTTTTTTCGTTCTCTTTCTATGATCTCCGAGGCAACGCTCCTGGTAGCCATTGTTCTGGTTTTCTCTAGACCAGGAAGTAGATTACAAAATCCTTCTAAGGTATCAAAACAAGTTTGGGCTGGGCCAAGCAGCTCCGGCAGCGTGAGCAGCGGCCCCGCAGCCCGGCTTCGCCAAGGCTCTCCCGGGCGGCCCCCGAGGCCCAGGAGGGAGTCAGCTACCCCGACGCGGGTGGCGAAGGAGGAGCCCACGAGGTCGGTGAGGTTGTCGCTAAACCTGCTCCTGCAAAAGTAGAAACGAAGCCAAAAGGGCGGCAGGAAAGAATAAATCTGCAGAGAAAAAGAAGTGTAAACAAAAGGGAAAAGGAGAGCAAAGGGAAAACAGGCCGAAGTGGCTAACCAAGAAATTAAAGATTGCCTGCAGAAAACGGAGAAACTAAAAATGCGGAGATTTCAGCCTCTGATGAAGCACGAGAGAAAGAAGCCAAGTCTGATTCACACCATATACCATGTCTATAAGTGGTCCTTGTCTCCTTTCTTGTAAAATCCAGAATATTTTTTATCAACTTTTGTAAATGCAAGTTTTTTAGTAGCTCTAGAAACATTTTGAAGGAGGGAATTCCACCTCATTTTATAAGTGTAAATGCTTTTTTTTTAAGAGGTGAAATCATTTGCTGGTTGTTTTTTATTTTATTTATTTTTTGATACAACCAGAAAATAGTGGGATATTGAATATTGGATGCTTTTATTGCATTGGGTGTCAGCTTAACATTCCATTGATGAGGGTACTTTCTATAGCCTATCGTACAAAGTATACTAAATGGCAATTTGGAGTCAGTTGTGCATTTAACATGTCTTGAACATTTTAGATTACTTCTACTCCCATGTTTTCCGTAGAATTGTTTCCTAAAGAAACCACTCCTTGATCTTGGCTGTCCCTGTCAGAATTTTATGCACTCCGTAACATCTTCCGTGCAGGAGCTCAGTTTTCCTTGTAACTTTGTTAATGTGCTGTGAAAGACTGAAATTTCTTTTTTAATTTTAGAAGTTTTAGGTTTACAGAAAGTTAAGTACAGAGAGTTTCTTTCCTACAAACCCCTCTCCCCACAAGAGCCCCCTATTTATTAACATCTTGGTTAGTGTGGTACATCTGTTATGACCGATGAACCAATATTTTTAAAAATGTTTTTGTTTTTATTTTTTTAAATTAAGTTTATTGGGGTAACATTGGTTAATACAATTATATAATTTCAGGTGTACATTAGTATTTGACATCTGTATATTCTATTGTATGTTTACCACCCAAAGTCCAGTTTCCTTCAGTTACCATATATTTGATCCCCTTTACCCACTTCATCTTCCCCCTCCTATATTTGGCCTCCTTTACCCTATCTACCTCCCCCTCCTCCCCCAATTCCCCCAATCCCTACCCTCTGGTCTATAGTCCATGTCCATGAGTTTGTTTGTTTGTCCTGTTCATTTGTCGCTTTTAGGTTTATAGCCCACATATAAGTAAAATCATGTGATTTTCAACCTTTTCTGTCTGGTTTATTTCGCTTAGTATGATTATTTCAAGGTCCATCCATGTTGTTGCAAATGGCAGTATTTCATCTCTTCTTATGGCTGAGTAATATTCCCTTATATATTTGTACCACAGCTTCTTTAGCCAATCATCTATTGTAAGACACTTCAGTTGCTTCCACGTCCTGGCCACTGTGAATAATGATGCTATGAACATCGGTGTGCAAAAATCTTTTCGAATATGAGTAAATACCCAGTAGAGGGATTGCTAGATCATATGGTAGATCAATTCTTAGTTTTTTGAGGAACTGTTTTCCATAGTGTCTGTACCAATTTTCAGTCCCACCAGCAGTGTATGAGGATTCCTTTTACTCCGCATGCTCTCCAACATTTGTTATTACTTGTCCTGTTGATTATAGCTATTCTAACAGATGTGAGATGGTATCTCATGGTGATTTTGATTTGCGTTTCCCTAATAGCTAGTGATGTTGAGCATCTTTTCAAGTATTTGTTGGCCATTTATATGTCCTCTAGGGAGAAGTGTCTGTTCAGGTCCTCCACCCATTTCTTGATTGGATCATTTCTTTTTTGTTGTTGTTATTGAGCCATATGAGTTCTTTGTATATTTTGGATATTAGGCCCTTATTGGAGGCGTTGCTTGCAAATATATTTTCCTACTGAGATGGTTATCTCTTTACCTTGTTGACAGCTTCTTTTGCTGAGCAGAAGCTTTTTAGTTTGTTGTAGTCCCATTCATTTATTTTTGCGTTTACTTCCCTTGCCTTTGAGGTCAAATTCATAAAATCCTCTTTAAGTCTAATGTCCTTGAGTTTAGTTCCTATGTTTTCCTCTGTGAATTTTATTGTTTCAGGTCTTATATTCAGGTCTTTAATCCATTTTGAGTTAATTTTGGTGTGTGGTGATAGACAACAGTCTAGTTTCATTCTTTTGCAGGTGGCTTTCCAGTTTTCCCAGCACCATCTATTGAAGTGGCTTTCCTTTCTCAACTGTATGTTTTTGGCCTTTTTGTCAAAAATTATTTGCCCATATAAATATGGGTTTACTTCTGGACTCTTGATTCTCTTCCACTGGTCCATGTGTCTGTTTCATTGCCAATACCATGCATTACTGTCTCTGTAGTATAATTTGAAGTCGGGCAGAGTGATGCCTCCACCCTCGTTCTTTTTCCTCAGGACAGTTTTGGTAGCATTTGCTCAAATTCCTCTGGGGCTCTCCAACGTTCAGTCTTGAAGGGTATGGGGGAGAGGCCCTCTGGGTTGGGGGATGGGGGCTGTGGCTCAGCCTCGGTTTTGCAACCATGGCTGGTAAAAATCAACTGTTGTTTCTCTACCATCCCACTACTCTGCCTTCTGCCCTGATGACTGGGCACTGCCGTTGCCCACGTGGAGCTCACAGCACTCCCAGGCAGGCCTATTCAGGGAACTCGCTGCTCCTTCTCCCCTCCCCCTCTTCCTACAGAGATCTCTGGCTGCTAGAGGCAGCTTTTTTGTTTCTTCCAGTCCACCACCCTACACCCGGGGTTCTGACCTGTGGTAGCTCTTATGCGCAGATCCCACGCTCAGATGTGCCGGCGTGCAGTCTGGATATTTTTTGTTGAGTTTTAGATGTTCCGTTTATTGTTGTTTCAAGGAGAGAAATCTGGGAACGTCTCTCAATTTGCCACGTTTAATCCAGTCTCTCCGATGAACCAAAATTGATGCATTGTTATTAACTATATTCCATTGTTTATGTTAGGGTTCAGTTGTGATTTTTGACAAATCTGTAATGGCACATATCCACCATTACGGTGCCATGCAGAGTAGTTTCATTGCCTTAAAAATCCCGTGCTCCGCCTATTCATCCACCCCTCCTACCCTGAACCTCTGGCAATCACTGGCTTTTTTACTGTCAACATAGTTTTGCCTTTTCTAAAAAAAAAAAGTGAATGGATAAGCAAACTGTAGTAAACCCACACAGTGGAATATTATTCAGCAATAAAAAGAGAAGAGCTACCAAGCCACAAAAAGACATGGAGAAAACTTAAAAGGATACTGCTAATGAAAGAAGCCAATTTGAAAAGACTACCAACTGTATGATTTCAAGTATACAGCATTAAAGAAAGATTGAAATTTTGATTATGTAATGTACATGATATTAAATTGTGAATTAGTGGAACTTTGATGTAACAGCATATTAATATTTGGAGATATTGGTACTTGATACTCTATTAAGGAAAATTTGCCTCTAAATTTTAAGCTGGAAAGTCACTTTTATGACTGTTTAGAAATGACTCACAACTATATATTTTAGGTTTTTGATATGTACATTAAGAATTGTATATAAATTGAAATGTCTGTGTACTTACCCTCAGAACAACCAATAAAATCTCAATTATGAAAAAAAACAAGTTTTAAAAAAAGGTACAGTAATTCTATTTGGCAAAGATCAAATATGTCAATTCGTCCAGTGTCGGAGAGGGCTAGTACAAACAAACCGTGGGAGAATTAAGCCCTGAGTGCTCCCTGTAGATTTTATTTATCTGCAATTGGACTATGAAATTCAAAAGGATGGTTATCTTGGTTGGAGGGAGGTTTAGGATGGGATGGAGTGAGGGGACAAGGAGATCATGGAGTTAGATAAAGGCTATCATTCAAGGATGAGTTTATAGGTAGGTGTTTACTATATTATTAAAGATGTTTAAATATGTTTTTTAAAAAATGCAGGCCATGCATGGACCAATGCTAAGGATGTATTAAGAACCAAGAATAATGATTAATTCAACCCTGAAGTTGAAAAAAAAAAGAAAATCCTCATGTGACACTAAAAATTAATTTTAGGGGCCATCGACATTGAGGCAAGATCCTCCACCAGTAAAAAGATTATGACTCACACATGCTAGTAACAGGCTTCTCAAATCCCATCACCCCCCCACTGCTCTACTCTAATATCCCCGGCTCCCACAATCCCTGCCTGAGAGATTTCAAAACTGTTGTGAAAGTGTTTATTTGAAATGAGATATTCGGCAGCAAAATTTAAATTTAGGGAAGAAAGTTTAATTCAGTTTCTTAGTTAACAGGAAATTTGCATACATAAGCACAGAATGCAAATAGAAGTGAGCTGAGGGAAGGGTGGCCAGTAGATAGATGGAGATTTGAAAATACATCCCTCGAACCAAATCCAATGACATCAGTACAATTTTGTTTGCAGCTACAAAATTTAATGTAGGTGATGTTTTAAATGAAAAAGTCAGCAGTAATTTTGTTTCGTTTATTGTAGGGGGAAAAGGCAGGTTTAGCACCAAGTTCTAGTTGTCAAGAGACTTGAATTGTACCAGAACCACGGAGGCAGGGTTTATAATCTATCATTCTCTGCCAAAAGGCAAAATGCCATAGAGTGAAATGCCTAGGTAACAGCACAGATTTTTTGTTTCAGAAGTCGATCTATTCCCAACCTAATCCTGGCATTTGGATGAGAACCTCTAAACTGGCTTCCTAGGACTTTGTAGAACCAAGGGCCTACCTGACCAGGGCCAAGTACATGGAAAAGAACCATTTCATATCAGGGAGAGAAGGAAAAATATTTCACTTCCTCTGATGTTTACAATTCTGGGCGTATCTGGGATAAAAGTACTCTTACACAGTGCTTGCTCCTCGGGGGCTGTAACTTATCCTACCTCTTCTACACTGATTTCATTTCCACAGCACCCGTACTGGGTAGAATAAAGACACACCCCTCTCCCCTCCCCACCCCCCCCAAAAAAATCCCCCCTGCCCCAGAATAACTATGTCCTAATCACTACAACCTATGAATATGTTGTTACATGGCAAAGGACAATTAAGGATGCAAATGGATTTAAGGTTGCTAACAGCTGAATTTGGGATGAGGAAACTGGGCCCAATGCAATCATAATGGGGCTGTTAAAAGATAAACTGAG